GGGAAAGAGAGGAAAAGCAACAGAGGCTCACAGCCGCCCAACTCCAGGACAAAGAGAAGGTGAAGATCAAGAGTCTGCTTAGTAACCAAGAAGAGGTGAGGAAGCCAGGTGTTATCATCAGATGGCGAGGAACAGGTGGACTTGAACTAAGAACTTACTTTAAAATCAGCTGCCAGGGTCCAAGCCTCTATAGCACGAGTGGTAGCATACAGGACTACAAAGCTGGGGGCAACATGTCAACTGTGGTCCAAGTCCCCGGCCCAGTCAGCCAGAAAACATGCTGGGCACACATGCAAGCCCAGGATCCTGGAAGGCTGGAGGAAGGGGGATTGTGGCATGACCAAGCCTTGGGGAGGATGCTTGTCTCTCTCTCCCATGCAAGCACATGCTTTATCATGAATTAAAAAATAAATAAATAAATCAGCAGCCACACCCAGTTACAATAGCACACAGCAGTAGGTGCTGTTATTTGGCAAACTGAGATTACATGAGGTCCAGGTTTAAATCCCAGCCCACCCTAAAAAGTTGGGCACAACTTGGCCCCAGCTATCAGGAAGCTGAGACAAGAACATGACATAATAAGACCTTGTTTAAAAAAAAAAAGGCAAGAGAGAGAATTAGCGGCTGAAAGGACCAGAGAGATATATACAAAATAAGGTCAAGTCCAGAATGAGGTGAGGGAAAAGCTCGCTCTTGTGACCTAGAGGTAACAAGTCCTTATAACTTACAGACATTACCTGGGGACAACTTTTTCTTAGCCACTGCAGCAGTAGTTTCCAGAACAGTCTTTGCTCCTAATTTATACAAAGGTAATTCTAGATACTCCTGGGCTGTGTGCAGAAGGAGAGAAGCTGAAGGCTGAAGAAATCCCTGTGACCAAGGCTGATGTTCAGACACAACCAGAGACAAGAGGATTTTGCCCACCAATAACGTAGGTGGACAGTCAACAGATTGAAAAGACAACATAAAAAGGGGAAAAAAAAGTCTCTTTATTTTCTCTGATCCAGATGGGGGGGGGGAGGGCACTGGGAAAAGAAACCTTTCCCATGGGAAGAGAAATGGAATGTTCTCGGTGCTGAGAACACCACTGTAAGCACCTACTGTTCCCAAGAGGCTAAAATAAAATAAAACAGGAACAGTGTCACCAACCACCAGCTTGATCTAATGTTCTGTGGGACACACACAACCCTACCAGTTGCCAAAAAAAATGAGCAAAGAAGGATGAAAGAAGAAGACCATCATAACTCATCCAAGCCTTTGACCACCACTCAGTACTTCTCATCAGACAACCCATTCTGATTTGCCAAACGGCACCAGCCGCATCAAGAAGGACATCAGGAATAGAGCTCAAAGAATTGGGGTCACGGATGGAATTGAAATCTGCCTCCCTCACAATGTCTATTGTGAAAGGCCCGTCACAACTCAGGGGGACATCGTCCTAAAAGGAGCCAGTCAGCAGGGAGGGGTCCACATGATAAAGAAAAGAAAGAACGGATTTCAAAGAGCACTTTAAACTCGAACCAACTGATGGGAAAAAATAGAATTGGAGTTGGTGGAGAAGAGCAAAAGGTGGAGGACGAGGTCGTGGGGGAGAGACACTCAACAAGGTGATCAGTGGCCCCATGTCTTGGAAGTCAGAGTGTGATTCTAAAATTATGAGCAAGAAAAGTTAGACTCTAGCATATGACCACCATTATTACTAAAATGGCCTTACAGAGGCTGGGGCAAGAAACTCAAAGCAGAATAGGCTAAAAGAAATGGGTTCATAAAGACTCCAGGAGGGAAGATAGACGAAAACATCTTTTTCAAACATCCCCTGGAAGCTGTAAAACAAAGTTCTTCCCATCTAGAAGGGAGCAGAGACCACATAATATCTAGACCAGAACCAGGTATGCTTTTCTCTTTTTTAATGAGGTGATAAAAAACGAAATACATTCTCACGATGACTCTGCCAAATTATGACCTCAGCTTTTACGGTGATAAATACCAATTAAGAGACTATATGGAGGCCAACAGGGATAAGCCTCTATCACGAATGTATGCATCTGGGGGTGGGAGGGAGGGAATCAAGGGTGGGGGAAAGCAAAATATATAACAGACACAAACTATCTGTTGATGATAATATGTATGGTAATATCTTTGACTGGACTAAAATGCAATGTATTCATGCTGGGAAAATTCATTTTGTATGCTATAAAGATGTACAGTGATTAAATGAAAAAAAAAAGAAGAAAGAAATATCAGTAAAATTTTATAAATCACATGAGGTTTTGAGAGACAGCTAAATTTTAAAGAATGTTTTGAGCACATTGTTTACTGATTCTGAACAGAACAGAGTCCTCTGAGTACTACTTTGTATGAATCACTTTGTAATAAACAAGATAATTTTGTGTCCATAGGAAAGGAGGAAAAAAAAATATATATATGTACCTCTCAGCTTTGACAGGGTTCAACTGGCAGATGGTTCAACTAGATGTATGGGGAAGAAGGGGAAGCAAAAAGTCTGACTGAAAGCAAAGATTTCACTGTAGAAATCTAAATCAATTTAAGACAAAACATGACTTCTGACAAGAATGTTAATATAATCACCCAGGATCAGCCCATGGCTTAATCGTTAAGGGAGCTGTATCCCACATCCTGCATGGTTCAAATCCCAGCCCTGCCAGCTTGAAAAATATGCAGGGCATATATACATGCATGCCCCAAGTCTAACAGGATGGACAAATGAAGAAGGGATTGCAGAATGACGACGCCCCATTGTGGAATGTGTTCTCTCTCTGTCTCTCTCTCTGGCAATTAAAAAAATCATAATCACCCAGATCCAGAACGGATTTTACAATAGCTCGTTTTCATCCTACGAAAGAGCCAGTGGACTGCTGTATACATTCTTATGATTTTCTGAAAATTAGTTTATTCCAGAAATAAAAATCTAGAAGCCAAGAAGGAATTTAGACCAAAAGAACTGATATATAAAGTTTTTTTTGTGTGTGCATATGTTTTTTTGCTTGTTTTTTTAAGACAGAGGTTTTTGCTATAGGGCACGTGCCCTTGTCGGAGAGACTAAGAGACAGAAAGCAAGAAACCATCCTGGGGTTGAGGGGGGGTAGGGGGGTTGGCCACATCCTAATTCCTTCTCCTCTATTTTCCTCTTAGGATTTTGGGCATGCACGCACACATACCTGGCCTGAGTTTCAAGCTGCCGAGTCCGGGGCTTGAACTGCGGTCAACTACATGGGAGTCCAGTGACGTAACCATTACACCCACTGCTGGATCCGGTATATAAAACTTAAAATGCACTAAAGTAGGTGGTCACATGAGCACACTTTGAAGTCCTCTTGGTTATTTTTCTACATTGTATTTAATGAAAATAACCAAATGTAATACAGAGAGAAAAGAAAGAAGGTGCCAGAGTGGTGACAGTGGTGATGCTGTGTGAGCAGCTATGTGTCTGGTTCTCCAAATGAATCACTCAAGGGGCCAGCAGTTGGCATAATGGCTATGTCGCTGGACTCCCACATAGTCGACCGCGGTTCGAGTCCCGGACCCAGTGGCTTAAACTCACACCAAGCACGTGTGCAGGGAATCAAGGGTGGGGGAAAGCAAAATATATAACAGACACAAACTATCTGTTGATGATAATATGTATGGTAATATCTTTGACTGGACTAAAATGCAATGTATTCATGCTGGGAAAATTCATTTTGTATGCTATAAAGATGTACAGTGATTAAATGAAAAAAAAAAGAAGAAAGAAATATCAGTAAAATTTTATAAATCACATGAGGTTTTGAGAGACAGCTAAATTTTAAAGAATGTTTTGAGCACATTGTTTACTGATTCTGAACAGAACAGAGTCCTCTGAGTACTACTTTGTATGAATCACTTTGTAATAAACAAGATAATTTTGTGTCCATAGGAAAGGAGGAAAAAAAAATATATATATGTACCTCTCAGCTTTGACAGGGTTCAACTGGCAGATGGTTCAACTAGATGTATGGGGAAGAAGGGGAAGCAAAAAGTCTGACTGAAAGCAAAGATTTCACTGTAGAAATCTAAATCAATTTAAGACAAAACATGACTTCTGACAAGAATGTTAATATAATCACCCAGGATCAGCCCATGGCTTAATCGTTAAGGGAGCTGTATCCCACATCCTGCATGGTTCAAATCCCAGCCCTGCCAGCTTGAAAAATATGCAGGGCATATATACATGCATGCCCCAAGTCTAACAGGATGGACAAATGAAGAAGGGATTGCAGAATGACGACGCCCCATTGTGGAATGTGTTCTCTCTCTGTCTCTCTCTCTGGCAATTAAAAAAATCATAATCACCCAGATCCAGAACGGATTTTACAATAGCTCGTTTTCATCCTACGAAAGAGCCAGTGGACTGCTGTATACATTCTTATGATTTTCTGAAAATTAGTTTATTCCAGAAATAAAAATCTAGAAGCCAAGAAGGAATTTAGACCAAAAGAACTGATATATAAAGTTTTTTTTGTGTGTGCATATGTTTTTTTGCTTGTTTTTTTAAGACAGAGGTTTTTGCTATAGGGCACGTGCCCTTGTCGGAGAGACTAAGAGACAGAAAGCAAGAAACCATCCTGGGGTTGAGGGGGGGTAGGGGGGTTGGCCACATCCTAATTCCTTCTCCTCTATTTTCCTCTTAGGATTTTGGGCATGCACGCACACATACCTGGCCTGAGTTTCAAGCTGCCGAGTCCGGGGCTTGAACTGCGGTCAACTACATGGGAGTCCAGTGACGTAACCATTACACCCACTGCTGGATCCGGTATATAAAACTTAAAATGCACTAAAGTAGGTGGTCACATGAGCACACTTTGAAGTCCTCTTGGTTATTTTTCTACATTGTATTTAATGAAAATAACCAAATGTAATACAGAGAGAAAAGAAAGAAGGTGCCAGAGTGGTGACAGTGGTGATGCTGTGTGAGCAGCTATGTGTCTGGTTCTCCAAATGAATCACTCAAGGGGCCAGCAGTTGGCATAATGGCTATGTCGCTGGACTCCCACATAGTCGACCGCGGTTCGAGTCCCGGACCCAGTGGCTTAAACTCACACCAAGCACGTGTGCGTGCATGCCCAAGATCCCGAGAGGAGAATGGAGGAGAAGGGATTGTGGCCATCTCCCCTGGGGAGTGATTTCTTGCTTTCTGTCTCTCTGACTCTCTCTGTCTGTCTGGCGAGCGCACGTGCCCGATAGCAAAAACCTCTCCAAAAAAAAAAAAAAAAAAGAAAACAAATTAATCACTCAACTCTTTGAGGATATCAATCAAATCAATAACAGGATCATCATGGACATTAAAAACCTTCTTCAATGTCTGACTGAGAAGGAAAAGAGAATATTCCAGAAATAATGACCAATATCTGAGTCCTAAGAACACAGGATGACTTAAAGGCTTGATCCAGGATCATAGTGAAAAGATAATGTGATTTAAAAAAGAAATCAATGGACCGGCATCCATTTATTTATTTTTTTTAATTTTCTTTAAGATTTTAGCCATTGGCCACATGCACCTGCTGGAGAAAGAGGGAAGTAAGAAATCACCCCCTGAGGGGATGACCATACCACAAGCCCTTCTCCTCCATTCTCCTCTCGGGATTTTGGGAATACATGCACACCTGGTGTGATTTTCAAGCTGCCAGGTCTGGGATTCAAACCGTAGCTAGGAATGTGGAAATCTACCACCATAATCACTATACCACCTGCTGGCCCTGGACTGGCATCCATTTCTAATAATATGGTGGGCTAGATTAGTCAAGCCAGCCCTTTTACAGAAAATGATTTAAAATGCTAAATAAAATCTGGAAACATTTTCTCAAACTACCTGAAAGTTGGGTAAGAAATTAAAGACCAAAATCGAAGTGAATGTAGCGGGAGAAATAAGAAGGGTCCAAAGCTGTTTTAATCAAGGCATTTGCTGAACCAAATGAACTTGAGCTTCAGTTTTGATAGCTCAAAGGCCAGGAAGAGACAGAAATCAAAGCCTAGTCTCAACCCGCAATGTGAACATACGTTTTCATACAAGGCCTCAAAGAATTCCTGTTGGTAATTGTCGAAGAAAAATGAACAGCTCACCATGCACACAACAGACACCATGAAAAAGAACCAAGAGAAACAACAGAGCAAAGAGAGACCTACAGATGCTTCAGATATAGGAATTATCAGATACAGGTCATAAAATAACTGTTTAATACATTTGAAGAAATAAAAGCAGGCTTGAAAATTATTACCTTGGGAAAGGAGTAAATATAATGTCTGGAAATATAAAAATACAACTGAAGTTTAAAATTCAGTGAATAGGTTTCATAGCAGATTAAACACTGTTAAGAAAGAATTAGTAAATTGGAAAATAAGTCAGAAGAACTTACCAAGGATATAGCAAAAAGAAACTAAGAAATGAAAAAAAGATTGAAGGTAATCTATCACTCACCTAATCAAATTTGCTTAAGAAAAAGAAAGAGATGAAGGAAAGACAGTTTTTGAGATGTAATGACTGTTTTTCTAAAACTAATAAAAAAGATGACAATCTATTCAAAAGCCCAGTAAATCTCAAGCAGAATAAATAAAAAGAAACCCACATATATACACAGCACATTAAAGCATCAGAAAAATAAAAGATAAAGTAAAATTTTTTTAAAAAAGGATTACTTTTATTGAGGGCAAAAGACTGACATCTGACTTCACAAAATACTAAAAGTCAACAGTCAATAGAATGGTATTTTCAAAGAATGTTACAAGAAAATAATTACCAACCTAGAATTCTATCCCCAGTCAAAATTTCTTTCAAGAATGAGGATGAAATAAACATACTTTCCAGACAAACAAAACACAGAACTTGTCACCAGCAGATGTTCAATAAAGAAGCTCTCAAGGATACAGTCCTATCTTAGTATCCACCTGGGGCTGGTTCAAGGATGCTCAAGTCTTTTATATAGAAATGGCATAGTATTTGCATATAATCTAAGTATATCCTCTTATATACTTTACAGCATCTCTAGACTACTTATACCTAAAGCAATAGAAATACTGCATAAACAATTGTAAAAATGTATTGTTTAGAGAATGATAAGAAGAAAAGTCTGTACGTGGTCAATACAGATGCAACTGATTTTTTTTAGTATTCTCGATCCACAGTTGCTTGAATCCATAGATGCAGAACTCACAGACTGTACTTTAACTAAAAAGAAAAGGGGCCCAGTCTGACATGCAGGAAGAAAAATATCATGAAGGTATGGCAAAATATAAATGATCATAAACTGAATGACGATGGTGGGTTAAAAAAAATTAAAAGTTTAAAGATGAAATTGAAATATAACCAAACTTAAAAAACAGTGTTTTTTAATCCTCAGATATCCAAACTTCCACATGCATAACACCCTAAAACCCACCAGCATAGAGTGAGGACAGCATTTACCCCAAACAGTCCTTCAGTCTAGCAAGTGGTCAGAAATGCCCAGGGAAGGAGGGAAGCTATATGATGCTATAGAAGGAATGCCAGGGAAGACCAGAAAGTATCTTTACTTTAATTTTTTCCTCATAGTGCTGTTCTTTCTGTTTCAGGTGCACCTCAAGGTGCTGGGCTGAGACTTGGGCCTCCCGGTGTTTTTCCTCCAGCTCCTGGATACACATACACAAAAGAGAGAGAGAGAGAGAAAGAGATGGTCAGGTGTGCAAAGGGAAGGACAGGGCTAATGTACAGTAGACACTTACAGGAAACGTTACATTGATTCAGGTACCACAGGTTACAGGCATCTGGTCCTCCATCAGTAGCCCTAGGGCTCTCGGGAAGGAAACCACCACAGTGCCTTGGTCCTGGGTTTTCCGACTCCAAGTACCCACACAACACACAAACACACAACACACACACACACACACACACACACACACACACACAGAGCTGGTGGGCTGTGAGACCTGGGATCAGAAATACGTCAGCGTGACTGGTCAAGCAAAGGCAACTCTTAATCTTTGCATAGAGAAGTAAGAGGGACAAGGCAACATTTGAAAGTTTAGTACAGCACAAAGCCTCTGACCACTACCTTGAGCCTCAGGCTATCTTCACTGTTATCACAGCCTTACATGAGAAAAGTCATTTTGATTTATTATGATATAAAAAATATTTTATATTTTCCTCATTTCCAACATTATTGCTCAAGAACCCTAGCTCATAAAGGAAAACTAACATTATAATTCAAGCACTTCCTGTTTTGAATGGTTATCTTAACTGGTATGTGGAATATGTGAATATCTTGTGATGTGTATTTGATATAATGTTTACATGATACAATACTGATGGGAACAAAGCCAAACACAAAATACACAGATGATGACATAAATATGTATACATACATATTATAGATGGGAAGAAAATCTGGAGTAAAATAAATAGCTCAAATTGAGTCTTCCCTTAGTTCTTTTGTTGCTAAGTTTTCGACTTTTCAACAAGATTGCAGCTCACTTGAAAATTACACCAATTTATTTGCCAACGTATTATACACTGCTCTTATAAAAGGCAGCCTTCAATTCACTGAAACATTCTGTAAATGCAGACAGTTGCATCTACATTAATTCTTATGGGTCTAGACCCATTAATTACTAATATCAAAAGTCATTACTCCAAGTTTTCATCTCTTTAAACTATTATGAAATTTTTCTTCCAAGTGGAAGCAATTATGACAATTGTGAAGAATATGGAAATTATACAGGATATGTCCATAAAATGGGAGAAAAAAAGTACTCTGAAGATTCACATGCACATAAAATGTGATTAAGCTTTCAAAATGCTAAAGTCTACAAGCATTGGCTGAGCTTTGGGGGGCCATTAAAGTGCTCCTTCTTAAGACCAGGTGCACAAGAGCTATGGCAAACGAACAGATGTGATCTTGAAAAGCTGAATGTAAACAGGATTTAATTAATAAAAACATCTTTTAAGGGCTTTATGTATACTCACTAACAGATCTCCTGCAATGATTTCCTTTATTAAAGAAAAATACTTTGCTATGACAGCCCCGATGATCTCTTTTGAAAGTTCTTAACAGAATAGCAAATATATTAAGCAAATGACATTCGGGGATCTGCTTTTAAGCGTCATCATTATGTAACAGCATTAAAGACCACTCTTTGCCCACATCCTAGATACTTTGCAGTCTAAGTACTGGGTTCTTGAGCAAAAGGCACCTTCTGATAAATGAAGTCACAATCACAAAGTCTTCTGGCAGGTGGCAAGATAACATTTGGACAAAGAAATCCGCTTATTTTTTCCTTTATGGTAGAAATCACTTGATAATCATCTTTTCTTAGTTTCCGCACAGGAATAGAAGTCAGAATCTAAAAATAGGTCAAAGACTCAGATAACTGAGACTGACATCTTCAAGACCAAACTCTTTGGTCTCTATTTAGATGTTAGTATACAACACGTCATCCAAGAACACAGAACTCTATCCTACGTTTTATTACAAGTGACCCGTTGGAAGAGCAGATACTCTAAAATCTGACTTCTTGATGGTTTGGCATTTTTTGTTGTTGTTGTCATTTTTTTAAATGTATCTTTTCTATATGCACTGGATCATCTCTTCGGTCCTATTATGAAATACTGTTGTTCGCTGCTATATTTCCAGCTCCTAGAACAGTGCCTGGCACATAGTAGAAGCTCATTAAATATTTGTTGAATGAATGAATGAACACATCACCATTAAACAGAGAAACACTTTGCAACCACAAGAGAGAGTTCATCGTTTTGGTTAGACCAAGCAAGGGATAACTGTGGTGCGACCTCAGGGGAAAATTAATTGCATTCACGATAAAATTCACATGCTTGACAATAGCCAAGAGAAACTCTGATGACGGAACGAGAGAACAGAACGGGTAGACTAACAGCCACACCTGTCTTGGTGTGCGGACATGTATACAAAGACTGGGTGCCAAAGCAAAACGATTTAACCAATTCCTCCTTTGCCCGTTTGTTCAAGAACACCCATACACATATTTACAATTTACACAAACATGGGAATGTTGGCTGGGTTGGGTATTAAGTCTAGGCCTACGAGTTGGCTATTCTTGAATTCTCATAGTTGCTGATGGCTCATTTCCCAGCGTGATGTGAAGAGAGGAGAAGTGGCCTGCTCACCACTTCACCTCCTGTAGTGGAGAGGAACAGCCGAGTGCTTCAGAGTCTCTCTTGGGGTGGGGCACGATGGGCTATGAATGGACTCCCGGCCATCACTAAGTCTCTCAAACGTGCCATCGTATTTTTGGCTTTGGAACTGAGATCCAAGGAGAGTCCTTGGAAGGCACTGCCTTCCTCCCTGCAGGGGGGCAAAACTTCAAACCTCAGCAAGTACCACCCGAGTCTTCCTTGATTAAGTAAATTTGGTCATCAGAGCCTAAGACATAACCAGGATGATTACAGACCTAAAAAAAGTCAAGCTACCTCTAAGGAGATTAAAAAATATATATAGTTTCATATTAAAAAAAAAAAAAAGCCAACTATAGCCAAGAAAATGAGTGGGTGAACAGAGACCTATGACAAATACTACTCTGAAAAAAACAATTCTGCACATCTAATTTCTTTCTTCTCCAAAAGCAAGAATCTGGGTTTCGGTCTTAAGGGTCTAAACCCCTACAGCTTTTCAAATTGGCATTGCAAAGTAAACAGCCATATGAAGCTCTTCTGATAGAAGGATGCAAATGCTCCTATAAAAATGTATCGAAAATGACAGATGCACGTTCTACGAAAAAAAAAAGAAAAAAAAAAAAAACGCCAGGCAGTAGCAAACAGAGCAAAAAATAATATTTATGGATCTGATACCGTGCTGAAACATCTGGTATTTGGTTGTTCGTTCTATTCTTCAATGTGGCGTACGCTGAAACCACCTCTTCTGATTCCCCTACTCAGTGACACCTCCCCTGTTATGGCATGTCATCCTTCTTCTGAACCCCTTGGCAACGTCTAACCTGTTATCTTTTAACTTTTCGACTTTTGTTCCTGCTCACCAGAATTTTATCAGCCATCTGCTGGATCTGTTGGGATTTTGTCTGGATGTCATCCTTCAGTCTGTTTTCTCTACGCTCCATGGTCTCTAGCCTCTTTACCTTGTTCTCCAGAGAATGGCGGCGTTCCTGTAGATCATGAATCAATCAGAGAGTTTTAATGGAGTAGTAACCACTATGGGAATAACACCTGCACCGAGGGAAAGA